AATGAATCAAGTGAATTAATCGATGAAGTTTCATTTTCATTTTTATTTTCTGGTTTATTTTCCAAATTTAGTGTTAGTTGTTTTTTTTTTTTTTTTTTGGTTCATCAAAATTTATCAAGACTATAAATATAGATATTGGGAGTAGAGAGAAAATTGTTTGAGTTTTTTTTTTGGAATGAAAAAGCTAATAAAATAAATTCCCTATAACTATATATAGAATTTGGGTTAACAACAACAATATTGCCGATGGTGATAATGATGATGATCAATCTGGTTTTGGTTGTTGTTGTCCGAACTTTCAACAATTACCACCTCTCTCTCTCGCACTATCTACATATTCTGATGATATTTGAGAATTGATTTTTTTTTTGGTTTTCTTGTTGTTCTACCCACCAACAACAACAATAGCTTGAAATTGATTGAGCAGTAAATTGATCAAAAAAAAAATCAACTAATCAAAATTATCACCATTTTATGAATGCAAAAATAAAAAAGGATTTTGTTCCCTTCAATGTAATTGCGTGTTTATATAAGCCTTTCTCTAGATCCTTCTCCTTCTACTACAGAATTTGGAAAAATTTTGAATCAGAAAAATGATGATGACAAAAGCAACGATGAAGAAGAAAAAAAAATTCTGACATGATAATTGTACTGAATGAATGATGAATGATAATAATAATGATTTTCAATGGAAAAAAAACGCAAACGATTTTCTTTGTTAATTTGAATTCGAGACTGAGAATGAAAAAAAATAGCTTCAAAGGATTATATTTCGAAAACGATAAAAAAAATGAAAATCACGAAATTTTTTTTCTTCTCCAGAATTCAAAAATGCAAATTTCCAATTCTATTTTTTTTTTTTGCAAACAAAACCAAAAAAAAAAAAAATGTATTGAACAAACACCATGGCAAATATCGAAAAACGTTTGACAATCACAAAAGAACCTTATTTTTCAACGAAAAAAAAGATTAAAAATAAAGCTTATTATCAACCGAACTATTCACACATCGATGGTGACGACAGCAGCAGCAGCCACCGTTTTTTTTTCGTCTCAACAACAGAATATTCAGCAGAGAGAATATTCATGATGTATTCACAATGAGAGAATTTATTTTCAACACTTTTTTTCTCCAACAAGAATCTCCTCTTGTTGTAGTATATTTAGAATTTAGTAATTGAATTATACTTATAGGGGTTTCACACTACAGCAATATTTCATGAAATATATACACGAAAATATTTCAGCCCATAAGGTTGAAATGGACTGAAATATTGCATTTGAAATATTTCATTCACATTGCTGCTAGTGTGAAACCCCTATNCCACTTGTAAAAACTAACAAACAGACTAAACCGAAAAATGCACTGTGGAAGTAGAAAACGGGAAAAGTTTGCGATTTGACAAACTGGCGAGTTTAACATATCATGCAAGCATGATCCGGCAAACTAGTTTTTTTAGTTTGTTCAAGTGGGACCACCGCCTTCGTTTATAATTTAAATTGCTTTTTGGAACATGAAATTTTTTTCGTTTTCGTTTAGTTTTTTTTTGTTTCAATTTTGTTTGCTTTTTTCCCCTTTCCTCACCCACACACAAGCCACCAATTCAAGATTCATTCATTCATTCATTCAGCCCATTTTTTCTATCATTATAATCATCATTAACATTCCATACACACACACAGAATATCTCTGTGTGTATTTTGTTTACCAAAGAAAAAAAAATTTAGCATCATTTTCATTCATTCATTTGGCGGATAATGCCTGATTCAAGCTTTCAGATCCACATCAGCTAACACACACAAACGCAAACATAAATTAAAAGGATATAAAAAAAATGGGACAAAAAAGAAAAAAGAAGATAAAATGAAATATGGTCGAATGAATTTTCTTTTCTTTCATCCATGGATGATGATGATGATGATAATCTTCATCATTTAAATAACAATTTAAATAATGAAAATGTTGAATGTTTTATTTATTTTGTTTTTATATATATTTAGTAACAAATAAACAAAGAAAAAAAAAGTGTTAGACATCTTCTTTTAAACACATTCTATTGCGTTTTTGAATTCGGAAGAAGAAAATAGTGTGTGTGTGTGTGTGTATGTCTGTGTGTTGTTCACATTATTATGTAATTATATCAAAAAACCGGAATAATGATAATGATTACCACAGCGGTGATCGATAAGAAAAAAGGATTTTTTGTTTGTTTGTTTCTTTTTACCCTCTCCTGGTGTTATTGCAATCGCCCAATAATATGATAATATGATAAGATGATAACCGAAATGGAAATAGCAGCTGTGAATAGATGAATGGATGGATGGATGAATGGATGGATGCTTTCCATAAATTAAATCAATTTTCAATTTCGTAATGATTCCGAAATTGTAAACTCTGTATGTGAAATCAATCAATCGTAAATCATTTGATTATTATTATTATTATTGAAAATTTCCTGAATAATAATATTGGATATATTCCATTCGACAATTATCCGATATAGAACAGTATGGAATTTCTTTTTTTGGTTTCGGTTTTTCTCGGTTTTATCATCATGATAAATTAATTTAGTGATTATTTTTGACATGATGATGATGTGGATGATGATAATGTTAACGATGTTGGTATATGACAATAAAAATGTGTATGACGACGCATATCTTTAATTTTTTTAGTTGTTGTTGTTGTTGTTGATGATGATGATTTTTCCTTATCTTTTTGTTGATTTTTCTTTTTTGATGGAGATGTTTGTTGTTGTGGTTGATAATGATAATTAAATGAATCAATTTTCGTATCTAAATTAATTAAATTTGGATCAGTTGGTTCAACTTTTGTATAAACTTTAACACTTTCAAATTTTATATTATCATTATTATTATTATTTTGATTATTATGATTGATCGATGATGTTGATTGATGACGTTTTGCATATCGTCGTATTGATGATTGTTCATTTGATTCTGGTTCCGGTATCCGAGTTAAACTACGTGCTGTTTGATGATGTTGATTATTATCATTATTTGTATTTTTAACATAATTATTATTATCATTAGTTTTACTATTTGAGCTATTAATTGGATTGGATGTTTCTGTTGAAAATTTAAAAAAATTAGAAAAGAAACATTATAATTTTTTTTTGTTGTTTGAATAATAATGTTTATGAAGAAATAATTACAAAAATTTTTACACAAACCTTCTAATAATGTTAAATCGGCTGTCAATAATGGTAATTGTCTGGTAATTTCATCTTTTTGTTCTTCACTTTCAGGTTCAATTACAATTGTAGCACATCTACCTTCACGTGTTGATTTTGGTTGTTGTAAATCATTATTGTTTCGAAAAAATGATTCCATATCTGGTGTTTGTTGTTGTTGTTGTTGATCAAAACTTGATTGTTGACTTTTAATCAATGAAATCTGACTATCTTGATCAAATTCAACATTAAATAATTTATTCATATTAAATACTGGACTTATTAGATTAACACGTAAACCACCAAAACGATAACGTGTACGTGTACTCAATAGACGAAGACAAAGTACTTCTTCGGCAGTATCTTCTATGTTATTAGTTGTTGATGATCTTCGACGATTATTATTTTGATTATTATGATGATGATGATCATGATAAACAGATGTTGGTGATGGTGAATTACGACGTAATGGTGTTGTTTGTAATTCATCATCTTCAATATAAAGATCTAGTTTCATACTACTACGATTTGGTGTTGCCGATGTACGTCGTGGTTCAATATTTGGACAAGAACTTTTTCTTCGTCGCATTTTTCTTATTACTTTGATGATTATGTTTGTTGTTTGATATGTAGCATTTAATGATCAATGATATTAATTTATCACGTCAAAAACAGTGAAGTAAATGATGATCAGATTTTCCGATAAATGATGTGTGAAAAGAAGATGAAAAGAAAATATATTCCAGGTGAGCATTAAACACAATTTTTTTTTGATAAGGCCCAATCAATTAATAATGAGCAAATTGAATTGATATTGATCGATATTTCTTTCTTCTTATTCTTCGTTTCACAATGATTCTTTTGATTTGATTGGCATTAATAGCAGTCCAGAAATTTCGAATGAAACAAACGTGAGAAAAAAAAATGATTATTGTCCGTACCGATGTGATGCTGAATCTTTTATGTGTCGATCGAATCACCAACCAGAAAAACCAGAAAAATGAAGAAGAAAAAAAGAATTTCCATTGCTGATCGAAAGTTTGAATAGGTTATTTTTGCGCCTGATTCTCTTTTTCAAATCATTATTATTATTTTTGTAACTTTGTTCCAAAGAATTTTTTTTTTTGAAGCAAACAAACACTACTGAAATTTATATAGTTCAAAAGGTGTGTTGATATGAACGAAGATAAAAAAAAGAAAGAATCCACATAAATGTCGCATGCGTTTCGAACACATCTTTTTGAATACATTTTTTTTTGGTCGGTGAATTTTTTTCCCTGTGAAAAGAAAAGGAAAAAGCAAAAAAATTCAGATATTACATATTTATAGTTTTTCATTAATTCATTTCAATATTTCGTTCCTTTTTTTTTAAATATTTGAACTATTGAGCACAGACATTATTATCATTATTATTCAAATAAACTTTGGAAAAATATTAGGAACGATGGAGAAAGATAGTTGGAGAATCCAAAAATAAAAAAAAATCAAAATCAAATATTGAGAAACAACAACGGAAAAAAGAAAAACTTTAAAAATTGAATCAAGAAACATTCGAACATTCGATTCCATTCGAAAAACGAAAAACATCATATTTGAAGGGCGCCAAAAAAAAAATTCCATTACGTCATATCGTCGTTTGCAAACAAAACGTTCGATCGAATGTTTGAAAGTTCTTTTTTTTTTTTTGTTGGTTCGGTCGCGCTATTTTATCAACGATAATTTCTTTTTTTGTTGAATTTTTTCACAATTGACATCCGTGTTTCATATCCGATTTCCTATCCTAATGATTATCTTTTTATTCATTTCATTTTGTCGAAAAGATTATGTTTCAAATTCTGTCACTATTTTAATGTTTGTATCTAAAATTTGAATTTTTTTTTTCTTCAATGTTTTTTTTCTATTACTTTATAACTTGATGCTACTGTTATCAAAGTCCATTCGACACTAAACTCTGACATTCTTGTTTGGAGAATGCTAATGAAAATGGAATGGATTTTGACAAAATAGATAATATATAAAAAAACACAGTAAACGAAAAAAGTTCATGTTATTATCATCATTAGTTTAATTATCTTAAGATCTCTATCTCTCATTTTGATTGTCATACGATCCAATTCTATGAGTTTTAAATTGAGTTTTTGTATGTTGTTGTTGTTGTTGTTTATTCCATTTTTTTTATATATTTCATGAATTTCAATGATAATCGGATCACATCAACTAAACTTGACTGATTTTATAGTAATATAACATCTATTATATTTAGTCAAAAACGAAAACATTAGATAATCCCTTTTCAGAATATTTTGTTTGTTTATTTGTGCAATCAGAAATCAAAAAAAAAAAACGAGAAACAAAAATGCTCAATTTGTTTGCCTGACTGAATATTGAAAATGAAAAATTCCAACCATAATAATGTATTTATTAAAGGTTCATTAAATTTCTTGCTACTGTTATTGCTGGTACCTGGGTAACAGAAAATTCATTCATTGATTTATTTCCAATTTAGATTTATTTTCTGGCCAAAAACTTTCCAGAATACCATCATCAACAACAACAACGAACAAACATTGAACCAAACCAAACCAAAATCAATAATCATCTTTGAATCCGATGAGTTAATTTCTAGTCGTCGTCGTCATCGTCGTCAACATTTTATTGGAATTTATTTTTTCCGTTTCGGTTGTTTATTACCCAAAACTAATTTTTCTTTCTTTTTTTCACTATAGATTTGATCTGTAATGACAGAATAAATTATTGTTTCTCATTAATTTTCCCTGGAAAAAAAAAATGTTCAATGAGATTTGAATTATTTATATTATGGTGGTTTGGTATAATTTTGTTGTCTTCTTTTTTCTTCCTGATGATGGTAATTGATTCTCCTATAAACGCCTTTCAATCATTCAAATTAAATAGTTTTTTTTTTGGCTCAAAAAAAATCTGAAAAAAAACAAAAACAAAACAACACACATGACAGTCAACAGAATTCTCCATTTTCATTATTATTAAAACAATGGAAATATCAATGAAACGGAAAATTTTTTTTTTAAAAAAAAGAAGAAAATTTTATTCAATTCTTGAATGATAACTTGAAATGAAAAAAAAAACTTATCATCTTCTCTATTCAAGCAAACAAAATTCCAATGGTCTTCAATAACAAATGAAAATTTTGAATCTAAAATTGAAAAATCTTGCCTAAAGCAAAATTTATGATAATGATAAGTCGAGAAAAAAAATTGAAAAATATGTTATCAAGAAACTAAAGAAAATTTTATTTATTCAATTGTTTTGTTTTTGTTTTTTCACTATCAAAAGACTCAACAATGTTGAATTATCCAAAACAAAAAACGAACAAAATTCATCCGATTCATCTCATTATGAATATGATTGGTTTCGTTCCAATTTTTTCTTTTTGCTATTCTCAGCTGATTTTACATTCTTTTACATTCGATTGCACACACACACACACACACACAGTATTTGTTTGTTTGTGTTAATTTTTGTACTCAAAGCTATATATTAAGTCTCCAGTGAAAAAAAAGATGATGATGATCAACGAATATAACAACATAGCATAATTTTCATCATCATCATCCTCATCATATCAATATATATCCAAGATATCATTACTATTGCTTGGTATTGTGTGTGGATAATCAATTTGATGTTGTTTTTTTTCAATTCAATCATATAAAAAAGCAAACATTTATCCTTTTAAATTCATTTTTTCCATTTATTCTATTTTGATTTAATTGACAATTTAGAATTTGTCCATTGATATAGATAAATGGCTCAATTACAACGTTATTATTGTCATCGATTTTTAAATTTATTTCGACAAAAATCATTTCATCATCAACAACAACAACAACAACGTTCATCATTATTACAATGTCATAATTTTAATCTAGTCAATAATTATGATATCATTATAAAGAAACAATCGATTAGTACAGCAATAAATAATGGTATTTTGTTATCATCGAATGATACACTTAATCATTATAATGATAATATTTCACGATCAGTTGTTATGCCAGAACAGCATACAAATAATGATCAAATGATTATATCACCATTAAATGATATGGCATATGAATCGTTTATTAGCCATCAAGAGATAAGAAATAGACAACAAAATCTTATACTTCTTGCATGTCAACATTTAAAAAAAATTCAACCATCATCAACATTGAAAAAATTATCACCATTAATATTAATTTCAACACCACCACCACAATATCAAGGCAATACAATGATACCAGTGAATGAATGTAAACAAAATTCTGATTTTACCTATCTAACTGGACTTCATTCCGGTACCAGCGATCAACTAACCAGTAATTGTGTTTTGGCAATTTTTCTTGAAAATCCTGATTGTATTGATTCATATCGATCAATAATATTTTCATCAAATCGTACAAAAAGTGAAAAACAATGGCATGGACCAGAACTTTCTGTACAATATGAACAATGGCTAAAACAAATCTGTGATGATTGTCAACCATTGACAGAGTTGATAAATTTTTTAAATAAACAAATAAAATCTTATCGTCGTGATATGTTTATTTCAAGAAAAACATTAGAACATCGTCCTGAATTAGTAACACATCTTAAATTTTATCTAAAATCTATCACAACATCTTCATTCGATAATGATGTGGAAAAATGGTCAACAAGTTTAGGACAAACAATTCAATCGGTTAATATACGTGATATTTCAATGTTAATCGATCAATTACGAGTGATTAAATCTAGTCAAGAAGTAAAAGCTATGAAACGTGTCGGTCGCATTGGTGCAATTGCTCTCAACAACACCATCGAATGGAGTAAACGATTATTTTCTACAATCAACAGTAGTAATGACAAATCTTCATTCACATTTATCGAATCACATATTGATGGAAAATTTAATTTTGAATCCAAATTATTGGGTGCTCGATGTCAATCATTTCCAAGTGTTTGTGCAAGCGGTTCACGTGCAACTATTATTCATTATGGTCGTAATGATCATATTATTACACCAAATGATGATAATTGTTGGATATTGACCGATGTTGGCTGTGAAGATGTTGATGGTTATTGCTGTGATATAAGTCGTACATGGCCAATCGATATAAATCGAAATTCGAATAATGATGATAGATTTCAATTACAATCACAACTATATGAAGCATTGATTGGAATACAACATGAATTGATCAATTCAATTGTCATTGGCCATACCTCATTAAATGATCTCAATGAATTGATGTTAAAAATAATGACACGAATTTTGCCGGAATTCAAATTATTCGATGAATCTGTTTCTAATGAAGATGTACGAAATATTGTCAAACGTCTTTGTCCACATCATGTTTCGCACTATTTAGGTATTTTTCAATGAATCTGATTGACATGTGTGATTGAAATTAATTTCCTTTTCATATAAATTTAGGTCTAGATATTCATGATACACCATCGATATCACGTTCATTACCATTAATACCTGGTATGTGTTTTACTATTGAACCGGGTCTCTATTTTCCTACACAAGGATTGCCAATCAAGCAAGAATTCCGTGGTATTGGAATTCGTATTGAAGATGATATCATAATTGAACCCGATACAAATTCAATTATCCCGTTGACGAATGATTGTCCTAAATTGCTTCTATAATAATATATTAACGATTATTATCTATGTAATAAATTTTGACAGTATTTTTAAAATTTTTTATAACAATTGAATACAGACAAAAAATTGATTTATTGTGCTTCAAATTACAATTATATTTTTGTCACCACAAGATGGTGCCAGTATTTTTAACAATTTTATTTTAGATACTTTTTCATATCGGCATTATCTGGCGGTAAAAAAGTAATAAAATTTTTATTCACTTATGGTTGAATATATAAAAAATATGATTTAATGAAAATGATGATAATGGGTAAAGTATTGTAAATCAAAACAATTAATTAGGAATAGGCAATTCATTTGCAACGATTTCAAGTATATCACCAATTTTCAGCTTCCAATTTTTGATATCTTTTGACACCTGACACCAATGTTCACCATGTCGAGGTTCAGCTTGAATACATCGTTTTTTCAATTCTATCTGTTGTTCTTGAGTGCCATGTAGTATTTCAAATTTATAAGCATAAGCCCAAGCATCACCTAGATCGGGATCCAATTTTAATGTACGTTGAAACCATTCACGAGCTTTCGTCATTTTACGTTCACACCAGAATAATAATGAACAAGCTAATAGCACATGAACGTCATGTTCACAACGTTTTAATGCATCTACACTTCGGCTTTTACGTTGCTGACGATTTTCCAAGAATATAGCTTCGGCCCATAATATACCACTTTGAGGACATTCTTGCAAAGCTTTCGATAACATTGGCATAGCAATTTCTTTATTGCCGGCTCGAATTTCCACACGGACAGCTTCCAACCATAACAGATCATTTTTCGGATTTTTTAAACGACCTTTTTCTAGAACGGAACGTGCTTTGATCAAAGCGCCTTCAGATTCTTCAAGTCGAGAAAGCAATATCCATAATGCAATGTTTGAATTGTTTGATTTAAGACCACGTTGATAGATTTCACGTGCTTCGTTAATACGATCAGTTTGTTGATGTATTTGTCCAAGCATCATCCATATTTTAGGATAATCATCCCAATGATTGATTGCCGTTTCAAGTAGTTCAATAGCACGAGATAAATTTCCTAATTGCCATTCTAGTTTAGCTGATTTCATATACACACGTGGTGTACTATTCTTTTCACGAGCTTTTTCAAGAATTTTTCTTGCACGATCATATTCAGCATTCTCAGATTCTAATTTGACGGCTGCCAACCAGATTTCCTCTTTGTTTTGATTCACATCAAATGCACGGGATAATATTTGACGTGCAGCCTGAACATCACCACCAAGCCATTTACTTTTAGCGGCCATTAACCAAAGTACTTCAGCTTGTGGACAATTGACGACGGCTAATTCTAATAATGATTCAAGACTTTCTTTGGTTCCATGATTTTTTTCGAAAAATGCAGCTTGAAGCCAGATATTTTCATTTTTAGGAAAAACTTTTAATGCATTTGCATAAACAGCTCTTGCACATTCAAAAGCTTCGAAATTGGCTAAATTTTCTGCATCTTTTAGCCATCCATGTTCACGATCTTCTTCATCGATTCCGAAATCGATAACAGATTTTACAATAGCTTGTGCTGTCACTTTTGAACCAGATTTTTCCGTATCAATAGCATCCTGTATCCAATGTTCACGATTGATTTCAACACCATTAGCTTGTAATGAATTCAATGCACGATCGATAATTTTCTGTACCATCGATAGATTACCTTGTGCTTCTTCAAGTTTGGCTGCGGTAAACCATATTTGTTTATCAGTTGGAATGTTTTCACGTGCCTTATTCAATACTTTACGAGCATTTTCATATACTTCTAAACGTGCTAATGCTAACCACAGATCAACACTTGTTGGACAACATTCTACAGCTCTAGTTAGAAGAATTCGTGCATCTTCAGGTTCTTCCAATTCAACAGCTTCTTTCCATAATCGTACCGAATTCGGAATTTGTTCCAAAGCTTTACGAAAAATTTTCTTTTTCGCTTTAGTCTCTTTTTCCAATTCTGCTGCTTTAATCCAGAGCCGAACGGAAGAATTTGCCAATTTTCGTACACCTTGCGCTATGACTGATTTAGCAAGATCAGGAGGTTGAAGACGAGCTGCTTCGATCCATATATCTTCGGAATTTTCACATTGTTCACAGCCTTTCATAATAAGATTTCGTGCTGTTTGTAATTTTCCGGTTATTTCTTCTAATCTTGCTGATGCAATCCATGCAGGAGCATGATTTGGATTGGTTTCACGAACAGATTTTAGTAATAATCTTGCTTTCTTTATGTCACTTATATCAGCACCAATTGATGGAATCATTGATTGAAGATCAGTTAAATAACCTTTCGGATCAACAACAGTTTGACCGGATACGGAATCCGAAGCTTGATTTAGTTTAATATCCATCAAGGTATTACGAGCTTGACCAATTTTTTTCAGATCTAAATGACTTGGTGCTGAACTTAACAAACCGGTCGATGTACCAGAGATGACCGTCTTTAGACCACTTAATGGATCGATCGAAGTAACCGTTTCATTTGACAAACTAACATTATGGGCAAGAATCGAATCAGGAACAGGCGTGAATTTTTCTGCTCTAGGATTACGCATCTTTTTGTTTCGAGCATCACCAACACTGGGTATGGAATTCCATTCATCAGCTGAAATACGAGCCAAATCACGTTTCAGATCGGAAAATTGTTGCTGAATTTTTGGTCGTTCTTGACGATATTGTTCTAATTCACGTTTAAGTTTTTTCTCACGATATTCTTTACGTTTTTCATCCATACGTTTATCAATTGAATCATAGATACGATCTGCTTCTTCATCATCTTTGTCATATGGATCTTTACTAAACAGACTACCACCATAGCCATTGAATTCATCATAATTGGCATCATTCAAATCTTCATCATCATCTTCAACTTCTTGTTCATTATCTTTGCCTGATTGTGAAGGTTTTTTACTGGCCAATTTCGATTTTGATAATGCATGACGGTCATCGCTATGAATAATTTTTCAAAGAAAAAAAAACACCATCAAAAATACAGAATTATTAATAATCATTCAAACTTACGGAACATCGGTAGCATCTCTAGCCGGACCAATATCACTTCGAGTTGTAAAACCAGTAGCACTAAAATCATAAAAAATCAATTATTAAAACCTGATTAGAATCAAATTAACATTATATGAAACTTACCCTCTTCCAGCGCCTGCAACATAACCAAGTGGAGCTGGTACACCGATAAAAGCTTTTTTCTTTTTGCTAACCAATGCACCAGGATGTGGAATATTTGCCAAATTCATCGTGGATCAAGAAATTTCACAAGTAAACATTCAATTTGGAACGAAATTCTCGTGAAACATAAAACAAATATTATGCAAGCCGCTTTTTGTCCTGTTCATAAAACACGTGACCAAAAAAAAAAATTCAAAAAAATAAAAATTTTTATTTTATCAACTTTTACAATTATAATTACACAATCAATCAATCATCCATCAATATTTTTCTTTAAAAGTTCAATTATTTCATCATATTGTCGAAGAATAGAATTACCACTAGTTTCAGTACAAAGTGTACGTCTTTGTTTTAATAATTCTAATGCTTCAATCGAATGTCCACTTGATATTAAACATTTAATTGCACCTTCATAATTATTCTGTTTTAAACGATATTCATGCCAACGATACATTAATTGATTAACAAATGTATTCGATGCTAAATGTATTACTGATAATATGATTGCTTCACGAAATAAATTTTGTGCCAATAAATTATCAATCGAAACATTAAATTCATTTAGACAACATATCCGTATTAATGCACATAATTCTTTACTATAATTTGTCCATTTGATTTTCGAATTAAGTTGAATCTGTTGTTGTGGAATACGACAATCATTTGATGATTCTGTAGATGATGATGATTCTCCAAGAATAGTTCGAATTGAATTTTCATAAAGTTTTCGAGAATAACTTGAAGCAATCATTGCCAATATTGGATCACATTCATTTTGTTTCAATAATTTTTCCACAAATGATCTTGCATTTAAAAATAATGATAAAATATATTGTGCTTCAAGATTTTTATTCTTTTTATGATTTTCTATTTCCATTTGTAATAATCGTTCAATATGTTCAAATTGGCCATATAAAAGAATACGTTCCAATTTATTTGATGGTATTATTACTACAGTTTCAGAATCTGTTTTCAATTTTATCAACCATTTTATATCTTCAAGATGTTCATATTTTGATGAATTATTTTCAATTTGATTGTTTAAAGTAAATAAAGCTTTTATTGGTAATGAAGTTTTATTTGTTATCGGATTTTTTATTATGGAATTTTCCGATGTTAATGAAGATATTGATGAATCAATTGGTATTGCTGCTGTTTCACTTGGTACATTAGCATCGTTTGTTTCATTATCATCACCATTATTATTATTATTATTTTCCAATAATGAACGTAAAGAATTTAACTTTACATTATGTTTAATTGAAAAATTTGATGAAAAATTCGGTTGAATTGTCCAATTCCAGAAAAAGAAATTATCTTCACCACCGGAAAATAGAAAATCTGAATCAAAATGACACCATTTTATACTATAGATTAATGATCTATGTCCAAAAAAACGTTTCAATGGACATTGTTTAGCAACATTCCATATAATACATGTAGTATCATAACTTGCTGATGCTAATAAAATTTTATCATTAATTTCATCGATTCGATTGAATGGACACCAACAAGTGAATGAAACACGATCTTCATGTCCTTGAAGACGACATTTTACCGGTACAGTTTTAACAATAAGTTTTGATTCATCATTGTTATTATCACCAGAATTTGATGATGAATCAAATGATAAATTATCATTATCAATATCATCAAGTCGATAACAATTAATATAATTTTCATGTAAAGCAGTAATAGCTAAATAATTAGTTCGTGAACAATATTCAATTGAAAGACAAGGACGATTAAATGAACGAAATCGATATAAATGTTGAAAAGCTTTACGAACGATTATTGATGGTTCGGAAATTCGACGAAATACATCAACAGTACCATCATCATTACCCATTAATAAATATTTTTGATCATCACTTGTTAATAATGCTGTACGTTTAATTTTCTGATTTTCCGGTACATCAACCAAATATTTATCAAAATTTTCTTGCATTTTAGCATTATTATTCGATAAATAATTGACCATTATTTTACCACTTTGATGTAAAGTCAATACAACCGGTAATGATGATGATGATGATTTTTCATTTGTATCTTCTTCTTGTTCTAACAACAATGTATCAAGCCATATAATGGAATAAATTTTACTTGTATCACGTGCATTCATTTTATTTGATTTAAAAACAATATCTTTACCATTTAAATCATAATGAATAATTTCACCATCCAATGTACCAATAATTAAACGTCCAAGACGTTCAAAATATTTACGATTCCAAATAACATTGAAAAATCTTGTTTTTGATGATAATGGTAAACGTTGTACATGAATATCATAATGATGATCATCATTAATATTAATATTATTATCATCATCACCACCATCATTATTAGTTAATATTGATGATTCACGAATAAAATCCAAAACAAATACATTACTACCGAATGCAATGGCAATTCGTTTATCCGTTTGACAACAATCAATAGCTAATGCACCATTAGAAAATGAATGAAAAACAGTTTCCGATGTTCTGGTTGATAGATTCCATAGAATAAGTTTATAATCCAATGAATTTGTAATGGCAATTTTATGTTCTAAATCCATTGCAATTGAAAATATAATAAACGTATGATTGATTGATTGATTTTTATTGTTCATCATCATTTTTGATTGAAATGTTCGTTGTGTTTTACCAATACGTAATTTACTATTCAATCCTTTTTCCGGTAATGTAAATGTTAATAAATCACCCGAACTATTTGTTAAAATAATTTCATATGAAACATTTGAATTTTTTATACAAGATTTTGGTAAAAATCCAGCTGTAAACCAATTTGTAGTATTGGTTTGACCGCCGCTTCCTTTTTGATTAGAACCATAATAATTATTTGATAGAATACGATGTTCGGCAATTTCATTTTGATTTGAACAACTCCAAACTTTTAATACTGAATCTCTTGATACAGAACATAACAAACCTTGACGATAAGATTGATGTGATAATAATGAATATGATGAAAATGATAATGAACAAATATCATCATTATGACCATTTTCAGCAAATATTGTTAACGATGTTGTTTGTTGGCTGGTTATTGGATCAAAACCGATTATAACAATTTTACCACCCATATAACCGATAGCTAATTTATGTTCATTTTTATCCGATGACATACAACATTCAGATGGTAATGATGCTAAACATGCGATTTGAAGTTGTCCCGAATTGAAACGAGAATTTTGACAATCTTGTTCATTATCATGTAGAATTTTTACTTCATTTTTTTTCACTTTCCAAACAACAATATGTGTATCAAGTGAATAATAAACAACTGGTCCTTCGTTTCGATAATGTAACCAGGCAGCGGAAAGAATTTTTTTCTGTATCACAGTTTTACAACATTGTCGACTAATCGAAAGGAATGGTAAATTTTGTAATAATGTTATACGACGAAAACAATCGTACAAGGCACCGATACCATCACTATTGCCAAGAAAAATCATTGCACAACTTGTTGCATACATTTTTTGATTCATATTTTTTGTTGATCCATGTTTGATTGTTGAAAATGTTTTATCAAATACAACCGTTGTTATATAACTACTATTCGAACGAAATACATCGGAATGTTGAGATTTTGCTTTCGTTCCGAATACATTGACAATATCTTTATAATGAATTTTCCATTTTTTCATTTCGTTGTTTGTTGTTGAATTTTTTTTCGTTTTCGATTTTTGTACAATAATATCAGCTAAAAATAGGAATGATTTGGCGCCATAAGCAATAAACATTTCTGGATTCGATGACGATGACGTTGATGAAGGCGAAGACCAAACGTCTAGACATGATGGAAGAAACCAATTCCAAAATGTTCCAAATGAAAATTCTACTTTTGAATTACTTTCTTCTATTTCTTCTTGTTCATCAACAATATCACCATCTTCTTCTTGTTGTTGTTCTTTTATGATTTCATTTTGAATCGGTATCAAATCATTCTTTTCAATTTCAGCCATAATTTTTTATCTATTCTTTGTTTTTTGGCTAAAAAAATTATCAAAATTTAAAACTTGTAAATAACACACGCACTGAAAAATCAAGAATCGAATTGTATTATTTTCTCACGTGTTCGATAGTCAAGTATAATCGATTGTTCAGTATCGATTGTTCGAAACAAAAAAATTCTGAAACAGTGGATTCAATTTTTGAATCTTTATTTCGTTATTTGATTTTTTCAAAATAAAAAATTTTAATTTTAAACTTTAAGCTTGAGACATTTTATTCGAAAGAAAAAAAAATTCTTTGGTATCTGGACAATGGACAACATCAACAGTTTTATGTCAAAAACAATTTTTATATTATCAAACAACTATTTTGATCCGTATTGGTTGTTGTTAATGCCGAATCTGAACGATTTTTTTGTCGTTCTTTTTTATGGCCATTATTATTTTTTACATTATCAACATCATCATTATCATTATTATCGATATCATCATTTTGATTTACAGAATTTCCATTATTAAATTTATCATTATTATCATTATTTTGATTATCATTCAACGATAATGTTATATTCGATTTTGGACGTCGTCCATACAAACCAATATCATAATAAATATTAATACCATTTAACATTTTACGATTCATACTGGCATGATTTGATGATATTGTTATTGCATGAAAACTTTTATCACAATCACTCATTATAATATTACGACGATTACGTGAATCACCACTATTACTAATATTACTAATGAAAATAGCCACCGAATCAGCACAAATAAAACGCCAACGTTCAATTTCACCACCAGTATAATATTGATAATTGGCTGAATTATGATATTCATTTTTTCTTGCTTTCAACAGGTAATCATTCATTTGTTGTTGTAATTCTTTTAATGAATTATTAATCGATACAATATTTTTACATTGTAAATAAATTGGTGCTGATGGTTTCCAATTTATTATCGATGAAATATTATCATTATTATTATCATTATTTTCATTTGGTAGATATGGTTTTAGATAACAAAGTCTTATTATTCGTACAAAATCACCTGTATTACGTGCAAATGTCATTTCACCTGAATCAATCGATGTCACTAAATGATGATAACAACAAAAAAGAAAAACATTAACATTTCAAAAGTGAAAAAAAAATTCATTCAAACATACTTGATTTAAGTTTAATATCGATTGAACTAAAATTCAAATATTTATATTGTGAATTTTTTGTCATCCACATTGTTGCTTTATCAATAATATCGGTTTGTGTTTCAAACCGTGGATATTTAATAAAACCACCACCCGATATACAACGTGGTACAAAATCAATAATACCAATCTGTTCTTTTGGATATTGTGTTGATAATTCATTATCATATTCACAAATTGGTTTTGATACATAAAAAACACGTATTAAATTTATAATATGTCCATTTGGTATTTTATTACCAACTTCGATTGGTTCATTTGAAACATTAATATTTTGATTATTTTCTTTATTATAATAACAAGGAAATGTTATAACATTTAATATACGGCCATGTATTTTTTTATTAATTATATCATTATTAATTCTTTTAGTTATTTCTTGGATTTTTTCCAAACATTCTTTTGGTTCATGATTAGAACTATGATGATGATGATGATGTTGGCTACTAGCACTTCCAGTAATACTGATATTAGCCCCACCACCACCACCACCTTCAATACTTAATGTTCGTCGTAATTTTCTACGAAATTCAGATGTTCTTTTAATAATTTTTTTCTGATTTTCATTTTTTTCATTATTATTTTGTATTAAATCATCGATTATTATTTTTTTTGGCCAATAATCTTTTATTGTAATTGTTGGCGGTGGTAATATTAACATTAATGGAAAATATGGCTGTTTTGACATCCAAATACGTAATAATATAACAATATATCTACCATTAAAAATTTGTTCAAAATTTTGTGTCATTGTATTTCCTTCACAATAAAGATTCATAAACAGTTCATCATTTAATGGCCATTTGGAAAATTGCATAACACGTTTACGGGCAATTTCACCATTTTCAGAAAAACTTATTGATATTTTTGCATATAATGTTTCACAATTTAATATTGTCCATATTGGTTGACCAGGTATAAGACGATCACGATGACGATATTGTGGTAATTGCCGTAACCAATCATTCATTTTATCAACAATTTCTCTATTTTATATAAACATTTTAAAAGAAAAATTAAACAACAACAAAAAATGAAAATTGCAAAATTTTAACGTTTTTGAATAACGGCTAAGAAAAACTTACTTATAAGTAGCTGTTTTTAAACAAGAACCATTTGGATCATATTTATATGTACTACAAAAATCAACAAATGTTAGCCAATAATTTCTATTACCATGATGATTATATTTTAATTCAAATTCTTCATCAAATACAATAACTTGATCAAAATTTGCTTGTCGTTTAAGTAAACGATCAAGTTTTAATTTTTTCATTACTGAATAGCTAATTTTGGACATTTTGTTTTTTGTGAAACAAAACAAAACAAATCACAGAATTTTTTTTTTTGTTTGCGAAATAATCAAATTAAATGAGTGAATGTCCGTTTCTCTCTCTCTTTCTATTCGGACAAATCTGGTTGTTAGCCGGAATATTTTAACCGGAATATTCTTCTTTTTTTTCAACAAAAAAAGATATGATATGAACGAACAAACGAACGAACGAATCGGCTATATGTAGCAAATGTGTGGCAACCAAAATTTATGATAATATAATAAAAATTAGCGAAAAAAAAAACAACAACGAAGATAATATTCATAAATTTCAAATTAAGATCTTGGTTTGGTTTACTTCTTTTGTTCTTTTTTTTGTTGTTCGGGTTTGTTTGTTTTTCATTTCCAGAAAAAATAAAAATTTCCAATATTCATTTGTCGTTGTCGTCGTGATCATATATCGTCATAGTCATTGGTGGTGGTGGTGGTGATTATTTGTTCAACCGAAAATGGTTATAGTTTTTCCATTCATATTTGGTAGCAGTAATTTTTCTTTTCTTTTTTTTTCGACAATTTTAACATTTATGAAAAAAAATTGACTTTTTTTCCATTTTTTTTTTGGTTTAGTTGTTTCTGGATCAACCTACCCTACCTACCTATGTATATATAGAATAGAATGGATATCAATCATCAGAATTGTATTCTTTTTTTGTTTGTTTGTTGTTGTTTAGCGGAAAAATGAATTCACAAACACTGAGTTAACATGACCAAAAAATGATGAAAAACTTTATTTTTTTGGAGAAAAAAAAGTAAAGAAAATGTAAGGAAAATGTTTCTCTTCTCATTCCCCTTCCTCCCCACCTCGCCAAATTTATTTCAGGTAAAGGTGAATGAAGAATAATGAAGATAATGAAATGAATCGAATCAAGAATAATGATTATATTTTTTTTGTTTTTGTTAATATGAAAAATGTAAGTTTTTATCGAGTAAAGAAGAGAGAAGAAAGAAAGAAAGAAACGTACGTTACTTACATACAAAACAACAACAACATTGGATATATTTCCAAAAAAATTAATGGTATCCAATGGATACGACTAGGCAAAAAGATCATCAACGTTGACGACGGCGACAATCATTTCGTTCTTCATTTCCATTCCTTTTCCTTTAACTCAAACATTCAACCTTTGCAGAAAAAACAAAAAATGATAATTTTTCCTTGTGGTGGTTGATTATTGTTTTATATTTTTCAATACATTGGGTAAATTGTTTGTGCGTGTTTAAAATCGATTTAAGGTAATAATAATAATAATAACTGAATAACTATAATGAATGAAGGATAAATTTCTTTTTTTTTCTTTTTTCTTTGGTTGGTTCAGTAGAAAAAAAGGAATGAATTCTATAAATATATGGACGAAAATGTCTCCAACTAATTATACTTTTGATATCGGATGAGAAATGAAATGAATATTATTCAATGATATAGAGGAAAAGAAAAGAAAATGATTTCAACCAAAAAAAAATCGAATAGATCAAACAGAAAAACGAATAATGTCAACTTTGGATGAGCAAAATGACTTTCAAAAATTTCGTTTCGTTTCTCTCACTGATCAATCAATCAATCAATCAATCAATCGAAGATATAGAAATTTGATTGTAGACAAAAATACCTTGTTATCCCTTTCTTTTTTTTTATTTGCAATTTAAAAGCAATTAATTAATCAGTTAGGTTTTGGTTAACACCTGATATCTCTACGCACACCTGACACACACACACACACACACACATCACATGTTACACAATGAATAAACATTCCAATAACCGAAAACAGGTAAAATAAACAGTAAACAAAACAAAATATCAAAGAGGTGAAATCAATCAACCGATTTTCTTTTTTGGCTAAATCATCATTTGATTCAAATCAAATGATCAGATGATGATGACGATGATGATCAAGTTTTCGTGCGAACGAAGAAACAAATAATAATCAGTTCATAATAATCGGTTCATTCTGCAAAATCATATTCCCACCACCATCATTTTAATCGATCTTTTTCAAAAGTTTAAAAATATTTTTAGAAAGTTTTGAAAAACGTTTACAAATCCAATTGCAAAATAATCGTCATTCGATTGCCTTACCTGTGTGAATATTTTTTGAAATTTTCTGTTGTTGTTGTTGCTGAAAATCTTGAAACGATTTACAAAAAAAAAATCGTTGAAATTAAATTCATTGATGGTCAACTTTTTTGTTTCTTTGAAGAAAAAAAACGACAGAAAAAGATTTCCAACAAAAATGTTCACATTGAAATCTCATGGTAAGTTTTGTAAACAAAGCGGAACAGACCAAAAACAAAAAAATGTTTGAATTTCATTCGAATGGCGCATGACCGTTTCGCATTTTTATCAATTTTTCTCGTAAAAAAAATCTTAAATTTTCATTTTTTCCACGATTTTTTTTTTTGCCAAAACAGAATTCATTTTAAAGAAAAGTTTTAAATTATAAAAAATTGATCAATAATAATGATGATAATTAAATGTTGTGTTATTTCTTCTTATTATCATTTTTTTTTCTCATTATTTTTGTTTGTTTGTTTGTTTTACTGAATCGATTGATTAATTGATTTTAATTATAATGTTTTTTGTTTTGTTTTTGTTTGAAACAAAAAAACAAAATCATGCAGACCGAACACAGAGATAATCACAAGTTTCACAGTGGATTATCATCGAAAAAATTTTTCCAACAAAAATATATAATTGATACATTGAGTGCTGATACGTTTGTGTGTAAATAGCACAGTTGAGTAATTCTTATACGGAAATCAATTTTGTTTGCCTGTTTGTTTGTTTGTTTGAAACATTTCATTACAATGTTAAAATAGGGGTTAGATTTTACATTTTTTTTTCTTCAAAATGTATGTTACCTGTCCAAAACAAAACAAGCCATATTGATAATGATGATAATTATCAATTTACGTACAAGGATTTCATTGATAATGATGATGATGATGATGATATCTAACCGATCATTGACGTCAACGATATATAATTTAATTATCGTGATCGATGGAAAAACAAAACAAAAAAAATCATTTAACTCTTTCTCTATTTTGGAGGGAGGGAATTATCAAAGAATTTGATTGGAATTTATTTCCGATTGCAATCCAAATCAAATCATTCATCGATTACTAATCAATCTGTCCATCGATCGATCGATCGATCATTTTCACACCTTTTCACACTTTATCAATCAATCGATTCGTGATTTATCGTTGAAACAAAACGAAAAAAGCAGAAAAATGTTTGTTATCCACAATTATAGAGAGGGATTATCACCATTACTCTGGTTAATTGTGTGCAGCAATCGGTGGTGTTAAATCTGTTAAATAATGATAATAAACAAAGACAAAATACAAAACAGAAAATAACTAAAACGATATTTTGAAAACAATCAAGGCAATTGTGGCAATAAGATTTTGATTTTTTTTTTTGTTTTGACAAACTACGAGAGAAACAAGATTTCCGAAATAAAATCTCTATAGCTAGACATCATCATCGTTGTCGTTGTCGTATATCATCATCATCATCGTATTACAACAACAAAGCAAAAAAAAAAATGAAGAAAAAAAGTATCAAAACAACAGCAGCCGAAAACACGTACTTTGAATGTAATTTTTTTTGAAAAAAAAGTAGAAATCACAGAAAAGTTACAAAGAGACAGACAAACAAACAAACAAATCCTATGGATCCCCCATTCATTCATTCATTTACTAAACACCAAATGAAAATGAATTTCAATGATTTCTACAGTGAACGAATAACATTTCTGCATTCATTCCATTTCATCAACAACAACAGTTTTACAGATTAATCTGATTAATTGATTTTTCACAATCAATCGATTGATGATAATGATGATGATCAACCATTTTTCGCACATCATTTGCATATTGGTTTTTTTCGTTTGTTTCATTTGTTTCGTTTTGTTTTGTGTTTGATTATGAAACCTGATATTTCCAATCCGATTGATTGATTGATTGGATATTTTGTCAACTTTCTTTTAATCATTTTCGCAACCACTTTTTTTTGTTTTGTTTTCTGCATAGTTTTTCTTTGAAAATTTTTTTTTTGAGATTTATTTTCAATCAAAAATCAAAAATAATCTAATCGCGCACACACCATTACATAATCAATTCAATTCATTGACCCAATTTTTGATTTTCATCATCCATCCATCGATCATCCATCATCCATCAATCAATCAATCAATCAATCATCGACAACCCGTTATTGAATAGAAGAAAGAAAGATTTTCATTTTGCTGCATCCAGAGTATTTTGAAAATCTGGTCTGAAAACGTATTTGACATTTGATCTGTTTGATGATGATAATTTTCTTTTCTTTTGTTTACACCCAATAAAATCGACAAATATTTGATTGATTGATAATGTTTACCACTACCATGCAATAATTTGCCACCAAAAAAGCTCGAATTCAATCTGAATTTTACATCAAGTATCCGATTTTCCAATTTGACAATTTTTTTTCTGAAGAACAACAACAACAACAGCAACAAAATTGATTTTCATCAAACCAAAAAGATGCATAATATTTTAATTAAATTTATAAAAAGAATAAAAAATTTTGGTAAGTTTATTTTGAGAAAATATGGATTTTTTCTTCTTTTTTTTCGTGTATGTGTGTATGTATGTTTGACATTCAAACAGGTGGTGGGAATACTATTTTTTGAATTTGAAAAAAACAAAATCCTTGAACTTGATTTTTAATTATCAGAGAAAAATTTACATAAAAAAACAAACAAACAAACAAACAAACATAATGATGTTGATGCTTAATCTGCTGACTTTATCATCATCATCATCATTATCCAATTATAACTTTGATTGCTTAATATTGAAAAATGAATGAATGAATTGAATTTTTAATGAGGATGTCTATCAATAGTATTTTTCATTCATTTCATTTCATTCATTTTTTTTTCTCACATAATTAAATAAGATTAATCCATTTTCATAAATGGCCTTGTAAATTGATTTAGATTAATTATTATAATGGTGGTGGGAAGAATAAAAATCAATCAATCGATTGATTGATTCAATTTGAATCAATTTTTTGGATATATGATTTGCAGAGGAAATCTCTATTCTGTATACATCATTTGAGTGTTTTATCAATCTAATTTGATCTATTTTCTATTTTCTTAATTTTTGTAGGCGATTTTGATCTAAAAAAACAAATGAAACGTGAAAAAATGGAAAAATTTTCACAATATGATCATTATCATTATCATCATTCAACAGTTCCAATCGATTTATCATCATCATCATCACCAATCAAATTACCACCACCACCACCCCCGCCAACAACAACAAAATCATCATCATCATCATCAATGTTTGTTATTAAAAATTATTTTCTATCAGCAATTTGGTGTTGGTTAAAACAATTTCGTGCAATCGGTATATTTTTCGCTTTATGTTCAGTACTATTTTGGTCATTCAATGGTTTATCATATAAATTAAATCCACATTTACATGCATTAGAGATATTGATGATTAGGTAAGTGCATCTTTAATTGCAAACAAACAAAAAATTTCTCTCATTTAAAAGAAAAACACAAAAATGGCAACCATGATCTTGACCTTTTTTTTCGCAATTAAAAATAAACAAATCAATAGTGTTTTGGCCATAATCATATGGCTAAATTAAGCATTTTATTTTATTTTACATTTTTCATTGATATAATCACCATATCTAGGTCATATTTAAAAGTATTTTAGTGCTGTTTTCTTTTCTTTGTTTTTGTCATAGGTTTATTTTGCTAATTATAATCCATTTATAATAATAATTTTTTCATAAAAAAAATATAGTTCATTATTTGTATCGATTACATATCTGGGATTTATGTTTACATTTTATGGTGTACGTTATCGATCAAAACAAATTATCAATAATAATAATAATGGTAATGGTAAAATCAATTGGAAAAATAAACAAATCGAACCATTCGATTGGTCATTATTGTTTGGTGTACCTGGTGAACGAATCAGTTTGATTATGAGGTAAGGACCACAATAACCGATAATTGATAATGGATTTGTGTTTGATATAAAATACACACATATATAATAGATGTCTTTGTGGTACAATTTCATTGGCCTGTTTTTATTCATCATATCGTTATATACCGCTTGGTGATGCTACAACAATTCGTTTTACTTCACCAGTTTTCATTGCAATATTTGCACATTTTATCGTTAATGAACCATTCGGTTTATTACAGATTGTCAATGCATTAACAACATTAATCGGTGTCATTTTGATTGGTCGTCCTAGCTTTATATTTGGAGTTAAAACATTATCATCATCATCATCATCATTAAATGAACGAACCGAATTAACATTCGAATTAAACGATACAATACCTATTTGGCCAATAGAAAAAAGAGCTGCTACTTATTATGATTTACAAGATTCAAATCGATCCGAAAATTTTGATCATTTAAATGTGATTAATAGTTTATTCACTACAGATTCATTAATATTACCAGAATCGAATGATAATGTAGCAACAACAACAACAATGTCAACAACACAATCATTATCAAATCAATTATTGATCGATGATTGGTCATCAACATTATTTGGTGTATTTTTATCATTAATTGCTGCCATATCGATCTCAATATCAATGATTTTTATGAGAAAAATACGTAAAACACCACCACCATTAGTTATATTTTGGTTTTCATTATCGAATGTGATATTAGGTGCTGTTGGTCTTTGGATAATCGATGAATATCGTTTACCAATTGGTTTTGAATGTTGGCTATTAATAATAATGACAAGTAAGTTATTTGCTAATCAAAAATATAACAACTTACCTTATCTGTCTATTTCAAAAAAACAGCATTTTGTACTGGTTTAGATCAATTTTTTATTACATTAGCGTTGAAAATGGAAAATGCAGGTGCCGTTGCCGTTATACAAGCATTATGTGTTGTATTAAGTTTTATATTTTCAATATTAATTCTTCATGAACCATTATATTGGACATCAGCATTAGGTGGTTCATTCATATTTTTTTCGGTTTTAGTTCTTGGTTGTTCTAAATTACTGCAAGAAATGAATTATTCCGGTATTAAATCAACAATATTTGCTATCAATATATTACATTCAAATTCGAAAAAATTTTATCTTGATGATAAATATCGATCATTATCAACCCGGACAACATTATCATCATCATTATCATCACAACGATCATCAACATTATCATCATCAAATAGTTTTGATGATAATAGTAATCTAACAACAAATCCATATCATTGCTCATCAATATCATCATTTCGTCGTCATTCACAACAATCATTACATTATAATCACCATCATCAATCATATAATGAACCATATTTATTAAGAGTTGCACCAATTCTTACGGAAAAACCATGTGGTATCTGTAATGATGATGATAATAATATATAATCTGATCAATCGATCGATCGATCGATTGATTCATTCCATCAAGAACCTTCGAAAAAGAAACTGTCTGATGATCTCCATGATTGTAAAGATACTTTGAATCTAACAGAATTTTGATTATCGGAATTTCTTTCTTTCTTTCTTTTTTCCAATTTGTATAGTTTTTTCTTTTGTGTAAATAATAATTATTATTGTAATCCATTTTCCAATCATCGATAATTCTTTGTTGTTGTTGTTGTTGTTATCATTGTAATTTGAATTTTTAAAACTTTTGTTGATTTTTTTAAATAAATTTTTATTTTTATTTTTGCAAATAAATAGGACACCAATTCAATTATAATTATCATTTATTAATTACAAAGAAATTATTAACAAATATTTGGATCATCTAATTTATCGATTAAATAAAAAAAAGGATTGTAAAAAACAAATGGCAAATTGATAAGGTAATATTGCATTATAGAAAAAAAAATGATGAGGCAATGTTCTTTTGGCAATTATCGATAAGCAAGATATTTTTATTTTATTTCATTTTAAATTGACAAATTGAACAAAAGCAAACAAACATCAAAAGTGATGAACGATAACAAAAAATTCTATGTCGAGATTGAAATAACAGAGAAAGAGAGAAAAAGAAAAATTAAGCTCATTCGTTACAAGGACATTTATGATGATCAACAACAATAATAAAGAAGAATCAAGTCGAGGCTTTTTTATGAATCTGAGATGATCAATGATGAGAATCTAGGACAAAGAAAATGAAAAGAGTGAAAAAATCATATCATTCACATTCGAAATGGATAAATTAAATGAGAGTAACATTGAATGGAATTCTGAATACAAGAATGTTAAACAAAAGGAAAAAAAATTCTACTTGATGATTTTATCGTCGATTCGGAGCAGTTGTAAGTTGTGTACTTTCACTTCGTTTTGGTGGTGGTGGTGGTATTTTTGATCTCATCATCTGTTGATGTTGACCTCCATTTGTCAACATATTAAAATTTGGCTGATGCATTGGCGATGTCATTGATGTTAAAGATGAAGAATTTTCCATTGTCATTGAATGAATCGGGATATTATCGGAAAATTGTACAGATTTTGGCAATTGTATACCATTGTTGTTGTTGGTGTTGGCCATATGATATGGTGATGATGGTATTGTTGATTGATAAATCATTGATGAATTTTGATGATTAGTTGTGGCCAAATTATATTGTTGTTGTTGCTGATGATGATTATGATTATACGATTGATTATAATGATGGTTTGCTGTTGACGGTGGTGGTGGTGGTGCAGGCATCATATTTGGATAAGAATCATCAGATGGTGGCGGTGGCAAATAAGCTGAATCACGAAATCCAAGTACCTGACCAGGTGTTGATGTTTGATCTTGTTGTAATCGTTGTGCTACATGCCATTTTTTCTGCATAACACGTTCCATATTTTTAAGAAATAAATCTTCCGGTAAATGATATGGTAATTGATTTGGATCATTATTATTATGATGATGATAATGTTGTTGGCCAGAATAGATTACATTATTATCATTATAATCTACAGGTGGTTGTTGTTGTTGTTGTTGTTGTTGATGACGTAACATTTGTTGATGTTTTTGTAATAAATGTGGTGAAATAGACATATAATGATTTTCTTGTTTTATAGCTGGTCTATTGTTGTTGTTGTTGTTGGCTTGATGACAAGGTGAATTTGTAGGTGTAAAATTTGTCGAATAATTCATTGATGATGATGGTGGTGGTGGAACAATTTGTGAAAATTGTTGTAATGTTGTTGATTGTGAATTGAAAATTTTTACTCTTGCCGGTGGAATATCATATTCGATACGTTTGCTGTTGTTAATTCCTGTTGTTGTATCCGAAATTATTGAACAATGAGAGTTGCCAACAACATTGCCTGTACTGTTGTTGTTGTTGTTGTTGTTGTGACTAGATGGATTAAAAGCCATATAATTTTGATGATTATTGTTAGTAATTGAGATTGGTTGCTGTTGTTGATAGAATTGTTCATTCATAATATTTCCATTCATCAATGTATCGTTGATTGGTCGAATACGTGGTGATGTTCCATATTTATCCCATACTAAATGCTGTTGTTGTTGTTGTTGTTGTTGATAATAATCAACTGAATTATGACGTTGAAATTGTCTTCGATTATTTAGAAAATTTGATTTTAATGTTACAAAACTAGTACTATCAGATGATGATGCAAAACTAGCTCTAGAATTTGGTGCATAAATTCTATTCGGTGGAATAGCTAAATAATTTCCATTATCATAATTTCCACGATAATTCATAAAATATGTAGAATTTTCCGATAGATCGGATAAACGTCGAGCAAGACGAACATTTTTCATTTGTGGTTGTGGTGTCATTGGTGGTAATGGTAATGATGCCATTGATGGTGGTTTCATTGGTTGCTGTTGTTGTTGATCAGATTGACATGGTGATCCAGATTTTGAAATCGAATCTGGAGTTGGTGATGTTTCCGACATTTCGGGTGATGGTGGTGGTGGAAATGATGCATTATTCAATGATAATGTACTTTCAGCTTCTTTTAGAATTGGTGGCGGAGGTGGTGGAAGATCATCATCCGAATGATTATTAATTTCAGAAGAATTATTATTATTATTATTGACAATCGAAACGGTAACAATAGGATTTGGTTGATGATAAATTTGATGATGATGATGTTGCGGAGATAATAAGGCTAATTTCGCTTTGTTTTTTGGCGATTCATCATTCGTTGTAGTAGCCGAACGACGAAGTGTTCCTGTTTTTAATGTTCCACGTTGAAATTGTTCCATAGCTAGTTGACGATTATTATTATTGTTATTCATTGTTGAATATTGTTGCAAATCATCATTGATATTACCACCACCACTACCACCAACAATATTATTATCATTTCCATCATCCCCATTAACTTCTAATAAAGCATCATCCGATTGTAATGCTAAATTACGTGTAGTATTTGTTAACGGTATTTTTGGTTGTAACATAACATTTGGTTTTCGTTTAATTGTACCGATTGGAAAATCTGCATCAAATGCATTTGATTGTTGTTGTTGTAAATGATGATTATGATGAAGATGATGATGTGGTGAAATCATATGATGATTATAATTTGAATGATCATGATGTTGATGACCATGTCCATTTGTTGTCAATGTTGTAATTGAAGATCCTGATGAAGAACCTGACGATGATGATGATGATGGTGTTGAAACAATACTATTTTGTTCCGAAATACATCCTGAACTAGATGATGCACTTGATGAACGAATAGATTCACTACGTGGTATACGATTAATTCTCATTTGTATCGAATTAGAATTATGAATATTATGATGATGATCATAATCATCAATATGGTTTGATTCTTCATGACCATAATTATAATGATGATGATCATTGTTTGTTGAATCATTCATTGGAAATGTTGTTATTTTTCTACAACAAAAAAAATACAATGTAAATTTTGTTAGTTAATTTGGTCACTGTGATTGAAAAAAAACATACTTGTTTAAAATATCATCACCATTGGTGGTACCATCATCATCAACAGAACTGGAAAGTTCATCGCTATTCATTTTAAATTGTTTATAATTTTCCAATAAATGATGACCATATTTAGCAATACGTATACCGGTCATCCATAGTTTAAGATCATCTTGTGATTCAGCACACAAATATTTTATATGTTTTGGTGATTTGGTTTGAATTTGTGGATGTTTTATAGCAAAACCATAATCATTTGGTGCTTTAAATTTTTTTCTCCAACCAAAACCATAATAAACACAATTCAATTCAAATGTTGTTAAACAAATTAAATCTTTTGTTGATTTTGGTCGTCCTTTTGGACAATAATAAAGACCGGATGATCTTAATGAAAAAAAATATTTTTTCCATACTTTTTTACCATCACTACGTAGAAAAAGATTACCTTCGATTTCAGGTACACGTACATTATTATTATTATTATTCGAAAAAAATTGTCCAATTAAATCTGTTCGTAATTGATTAGCATTATATTTTGCTCTTAATGAACCAGATTTTAATGTATCAACATTTTCATTTGATTGATTAACACTGATCAGATATTTTTCCGGTTGAATAAACATATCATATTTATCCGGTTGTTGAACAAAATATAATTTATTTAAATTATGATGATCACGTCCCCAATACAGAACATTTTCAACCAATGATTCATGATCTTCATAGAATCGTTCTAGTAATAAAAAAAAAAGATAAAAACAACAGCAAAAAAAAAATTATTAATAAAATCCATAAACGAAAATAGACAAGAAAACTTTTATCGATTTAAAAATGAATGAATGAATGGATGGATGGATGAATGGTAAAAGTATTATTCTTGCTAATCGGATTGAAACTTTTGAAAAAAAATCCTTGTTGTTACCAATAATAATAATAATAAGATGAAAATTTACATGTCAAACTTTTTGCACTTATTTCAATCACATTCGTCGACCTGATTTTATTTTAATTTTTCTGATTTTTTTGAATGATGATGGATATTGAAGATTATTCAAGATTTAAGTCTAAGATCTACACAAACACTAAAATTCAATCATGCAATAAGCTTATAGAATGGAATGCTTCCGTGTGTGTATGGTTTTGTTGTTGTCGATAATAAATTATTATCGTTGAAAAAAAAATTATTCAAACTTTGGTCTGTTTTGGTCTTTTTCCATTCATCATCATCATTGTTTTTGTTTTTTGTTGTTTTTTATGGATCATTTCAAGTTGGAAAAAGAAGGGTTAAAAAAACCAAGCATCCAAGCCAATCAACCAATCAATCAATAGTTTTTCTGTATATTTACATACCTAAATATAATTGTGGCATATGTTCAATAATACAATAATTAATTCCAATTGAAATATGATTTTTTTCGGCCATTTGTTGACAAATTCTACCAACCTGCATACGTTCATCGGCTAATAAACATTTAGATGAATCATCTTCGGCAAATACTTTTAAATATAGCTATATATGTGAACGGAGAAAAAAACAAAACAAAACAAAAAAAAATTAATAAATTGAAAAATGGTAACGGAAAAATCTCCAGAACAAAATCCAATCAGTGTCCAGTGAAGAAACAAAAAAAAACATCATGCTATTTTTGGGTAAGAAATTTTAATGGAAATGATGAAAATGAAATGAAACAAATGGAAATGAAAATGGAATAAGCAGATCTAAAATGAAAAAAAAAATTTAATTTAATTTTCTCATCTAACTGATCGATCAATCGATTAATAGCGATGATGATAATGTCTATAAATGAAATTAATTTCAATTTCAAATGTGGTTAGTGTGATGATAAATTGTAGTCTTTGATGATAAAGATCATTATCATCAAAATCAAAGCCAATTACAACAACAAAAAAAAAACTTTTTTGGACACAATTCATTTTTTACCTTACGAATATTTGCTTCATGAATTTTAGCCATTGCTATTCGTATCTTTTCATCGAAATTATTATTATTTATTTCATGATCGTTATCGTTATTAATGTCGTTTCGTTTATCATTATGATCATCATCATGATGATCATGATGATGATTATCGGTAATTGTATCATTTGAATCACCACTACCACCATCATCATCATCATTAATATTATGATCAACATTTGATTGCCAATTTATATCGTTTTTTTCTATCAATTCAAATCGTTTTTTAACATTATCAACATCATGATTATCTACAAATGTTGTTGTTGTTCGTTTTTCTAAATTGGCATTTTCATCGGGCAATATTAGGTTCTGATTTTATGTTTATGTTTTTGTGTATGCATGGTCAATGATTAAATCATAAAAGAAAGATTTTTGTGGAAAAAAAAGAAAAGAAAGAAAGAAAAATAATTAAAATAAAGAAAGAGAAAAAGACAAAGAAAAAGATTTAAGAATTGATTTGAAAAAAAATCGGACAGGTTTCTCGGGTATTATCATCATCATAAAAAAGTGTTCTCTTTTTTTTTCTGGACACTTTTGGCGCCATCATCATCATTATATATTAGTAGGTCATTGGCAAATGGAAACAAAACACACACAAACAGAAACACCAAAAACATACCGTCAAATCATTTAGATCACCATTTTTAGTTTTATCATTTTGTTCGAAAAATATTTGCTGCTGTTGTTGTTGTTGTTTCTGTTGTTGTTGTTGTTGAATAGGATTTCGTTCAGGATTTTCATTATCATTTATTGATGTTACCACATGTTTCATGATCGACTGATGCTGCTGATGATGATCAATATTGTTATTATCACAACAAGATGATGATGTTTGAGAACCATCACTACTATTTACTGATTGACTAGAATTACCAGTACTATTATTTCCTTTACGTATTGTTGATGTTGATGTTTGAATCGATAATTTACCACCACCATTCGATGATGTCGATGATGATGATGATGATTGTTCGGATGAAATTAATGATATTGAATCAGAAAATGCTGAATCATTATCCGGTGAATCGGTACGTAATACAATTTGACTTGGTATTATTGATGATGATGATGGTTGTTGTTGTTGTTGTTGAATTGTCAAAACCAAGTTCGATGAATCATGATTTTGATGATGATTGTTTTCTGTTGTTTTTTTGGAAATACATAAAAATAAAATTTACAAGGGAAAATCTTAATCCAATCAAACAAACACATACCAACAACGGTTAAAATTTGATTCGTTGAATCATTATCATCATCATGAATCGAATGTGAATGATGATGATGAAAGGAATGTATCGAATATGGATGATGCGGATGATAATTGGATGATGGATATGATGTGGATGATGATGATGAAGGTGATGTAGTTGATAAGGTATTCATCATAATCATATCTGATGATTGTTGTTGCTGGTGTTGATTGTCTGTAATTCCATTCGAATTACCATTGATTGAATTTGATGGATACGATTTTTGATGATTATTCAAAGTTGTTGTTGTTGTTGATGTTTTTGAAAATTTCCCCGGTACTTGTGATAATTCCTGATCAATTGTATTACCTAATGCATTTAATTGTTGAAGTATATCTTCAAATTCTTTATCAGTTGAATCAACAACTTTATAAAACAAACAGAAACAATGTTTAAATTATCGATTATAAACCAAAGGAGAAAAAACAAACAAACTTACCACCATTATTATTATTCGATTGTCCAATCGATGAATTATTGATTGGTGATTTTGTTTCGTACATTTTTACCTGGAAAAATCGTTTGAGAAGAAGAAAAATAAGTGTTAATTATTGAATTATCCATAATTTAATTCAAAAATCAAGAACAAAACAAAACACAAAACAAAAAAAACAAATGTTATTCGAATGCAATCAACAAATTGACAATGAAAAAAAAATTTCGATTTCAAAACAAATCAAGAAATAGTAACAAACAAAAAAACGAAAAACGAAAATGATAACAAATATTCTAAGTTGAAACAAATTCAAAGAACAAAAAGATAATGGATAATCAAAAAGAGGATTTCCTGTTTGGCTTAGCAATAAAAAAAAATCAATGTCATCACATCATTATCATCGATATCATTCTGAATAGTACAAATTATATGATAATGAATGATGTTTGTCAATATTCAAATCCTGTTTTGCCAGCAATTTGCAATTTGCAAATCCAAACATGGATTTGCAACAACAACAAAAACAACGAAAAAATTGTCGTCATCATGACGATATTCCGACCTGTTGCTGGTTGTTTGTTGACGATCATCATCATTTTTTTTACATTTTTGAGAATTTCAAAATGAAAATAAAAATAGAGCACACTATTTTGAATTTTAAAAAAAATGAAATTTAAATAAAAAATTTTTTTAATTAGCATTTTTGTATTGGTCAACACTCTTTCTTTCTCAAATGAACCAGGTGACCCAGAAAAATGAACAATTATCGATGACATACATTGAATTGAATTGATAAAGATTTTCTCTGTTTGGTCTAAGAATTGGAATTCACCAATAATTACTATGGATAACTCCCCATCGATCAATGAGAATCAATTTTTAACATTCTTTTTGTTTCGTTTGGCTCAAAGATCAATTCATTTGTTCAAAAAACGATTGAAAAAAAAACATTAAAAACACAATGAAGCAACCCAAAACAACAGTAAACATCATACAATGCACTCTGTAGAATTGATGATTGTTGAGAAACAAAAAATTTGAAAAATTCAATGGAAAATGAATGATTGAATGGATGGATGGAACCGAAAAAAAAAGATTTCGGTTCAATTATCTCTCATCTCTTCTCTTTATCTTATCGTTTTTCTCTTCTCTCTTCATTTCATTCATTTTAGATGATTCAAATGACTTTCAAACTGGCTGATCAAGTGAATGATTTTTAGCCATAAAAACATCAACTTGGGTTTCCGTATTTCGAACCGTTATCTTATCGTTTTTTTTTGATTTTACATTCATCATATTCATCTGTTGCTCATGTCTCTCATCGATCTCTCTCTCTCTCTCTCTCTTCTTAAATCGGTTTTTCTGTTAAATATTTTTGGAGAAGAAGAAGAAAAACAGAAGAAAATCTTCAATGCCAAACTTGCATAAACTGATGAATAAATATAAAAAAAAACAGGGAACATTCAAAACAAGAAAACTGAATGATCAATGCCATCATCATTAAGCATTATGCTAAATGGATAAAATATGTATCGATCTTTGGAAAAAAACTCATGTAAAATCATGAAATTACGATTAATTTTTTCACATTAAAAATACTAAATACTTTTTTACAAAGGTCAAACTAATAATGATAATTTTCTAAAGTAGATGTTTGATCGATGATGAGAAGAAGGAGAAACAAAAAAAAATTAAGCATCCATTTTTGAATGGATAATTTCATCAGTTATTTTATCATTTTCTGTGTTTTCGAAATTAATAATGATGAAAATTAATTCTTCCAAACATAATTCATATCCCAAAAAAAACAACAACAAAATGATTATGATGTTGTCAATGAAAGCAAAGCACACACAATTACATTTGACATAAATCATAATCAACAACAACATTTTGTTTGTTTTAATTGGATAATAATAACAACAACAACAACAAAAAACGCCTACGCTGTCCATGTCTAAAAATGAGGCCAAACATTCTATATATTTGTTTTGAATAGAGTTTTTTTTAACCCTTTTCTCCCTACATAATAAACATTACATGATTGACAAAACAAAACAAGAAAGAAAAACTTTCTGAAAAATTTGATAAAAGTGATATTTATCAGTTTTTTTTTCTGAAAATTTTGAAAAAAAATTTAAAAAAAACGCAGGTAAAAAAAGACAGGTAGCACATCATCTTTCGTTATCTATCTATCTATCTATTCATCTTTTTGAACAATGATTTAAATTCAGGTCTACAACAACAACAACAACAGAAAAAAAACTGTTTGTTTGTTCGTTAGTTAGTTAGGATGGCCTAATTCCGATTTCAATAAACAACAAAACTAGAAAAACTGAACAAGAAAATTCGGGCCAAACCTTCGTAAAAAAAATAGTTAATTGTTTCTCACCAATTATCTATCTATTCCAATTCGTTGTTGTTGCGTTCTTTGAATACCGATGATGATGATGATGATAAGAATGAAGCAATAAACAACAGTTGAAAAAAAAATTCAAACAATAAGCATCCAAGAGAAAGAAAGAAAAAATTGATGTCAATCATAAACAAGGGCTTTCGCAAATCAAATCATAAATGTTCATTCACTGTTCATTCATTCAGAAAAATGATCTTTGATTTCTGATCTTTGATTTGTGAATTGTGATCTTTGATTTTTCGGGTAATCAAACGATGACGGTTATTATCATCATAATCAACAATGATAGACCACCGCTGATCAGATAAAAAGATGAAAATCACGAATAATGATAATCTAGATCAGAACAGAAAAGAAAATAGAAAATAACAACAAAAACAAATGAACCTTGCTTAAACCATTTGGGTTAATAAACAAGAAAAAGTAGTTCAAGAACAATGATAAGAAACAAAACAAAACAACAGGTTTTTTTCTTGTTCAACATTCAACAGCTTTTGATTGATTGATTCGATTGTTCTTTCGTGTTTTCTTGGTTCTTCTTCACACTCACAAATCAAAAATCAATTTTTTCTTCTTTCATTTACCGAATTAAATTAGCAGAAAACAAAAACCAGATGCGAACCATTTAACACTTTGTTGTTCAATTTGTTTCACAGTTAGAATGAAAAACACCCATTTTTTTTTTGGTTTAAATCAATTTTTGAAAACAGAAAAAAAAAGAATCAACCGACAACAACAACAGAAAATTTAGATTGACAAACAAAAAAAAAACGATCAATCAATTGATTGATCGATCGATTTATCTGTTTCGAATCAACCACCACCACCACCACTACAACTACCACCATCATCATCGATAATCAACGATAGATATTCTTTCTTCTTTTTTTTTTGATCAATATTTGATCATCATCATCATCGTTGATTTTAATGGATGTTCAAACAAACAAACAAACCAACCAACCAACAAAGATGAAAGTCCATTTTTTTTCATGGGAAAAGAGTTGATCAACAACAACAGAAAATCAACCAAAATTTAGACGAAATTATTATTATCATTTGTGTAATTCAATAACGTCGATATTTGCTTTCGACTTTGACGATATGCCATTCATATATTCATCATTATGCGCTTATTATTATTATAGAAGATATTGAAATAACCTTGGCAGCAAGCAGAAAAAAATGATGATCATCATCATTTGATTTATTTATAATAAAATGTAATGGACTATAATTATATAGTTTAGTAATTTTAGTTTTTAAAAATAAAAAATCAGAAGATAAAATAAAGAGGCACATTGTGAAAGGAAAGGATCACTGATTCAATCAAAAGTTATTGATCATTGATTTTTTTTGATAGAACAAATCGATCATGAATTGGATAATATCATAGTCGTTTTGGTCAATAAAATATTCATGAAAATGATTGGAAGCAATCAAAACATGTCTACCTGTCTGTAATGAAAAAAAATATTGAATTTTAAATCAAGGTAAAGTTTGAATAAACCAAATCATTCCATTGTCTTCAATCAGGTTTATTATGATGATAATTAAACCGGGAAAAAAACGGAATTGAATTTTTTGAATGTTCCGCTACATTCAAATGAGACAACAAAAATTTGAATCAAAAAAGACTTTTGAAATTAACTGGATTTTGAAAAATGAAAATACAAAAAAAAACTCAAGATTTTCCTTTTTATCAATAGACAAATGAATGGATTGATCTGGATTAATCTGGAGATTTTTTTTTTCTTTTATCACTATGATAAAAACAGATGGATAAATTTAGCAGAAAGAAAAAATAAAATTTCACAAACGATTCATTCATCATATGAAAAAAGATTGAGGATAACAATCATTATCATAATTCTTCTTATCACTTCTTTATGTTACCGGATTTTTGAAAAATAGAAAAACATTACTAAAATGGAGATTAATGTCGTCCATAAACATCATAATCGTCGTTGATAAAGATCAATAAAAAATTACCACAAACGACGAATAATCAAAAAAAAGTATCGCGGTCACCTTGGCTTCAAAAAATGGTCAAAATGGATGCCCAGAAACAGTCAGAAATTTATGCTTTATTTTGACTAATAAAATTTTCAACTATGGTTATCAATGATCATCAGTCATTCATTCACTCAAACTTTGATATCTTTT